TATAGCTGTAGCTGCTTTTGTGCGAACACCCAGTTCCTTACATTTTAAACACACTATTTCGTTACTTATTCATGAAGAGTTTGAATTTAATTGTATTTGTGAGAATCCTGGATCTGTTTGTTGTTACTATTTAAGTATACACTCAGATCAGTTGATTCTGATGTATATTTGCATTCTTTGTCCATTGCCTTGATAGTTTATGTCAAATGTTTTGAAAAGATTCTGGGGAAAAAGTTAACACGGAGATACAACTATATTCAGCTAGCAAGTCACAAATAGTACGAGACGTAGGTCCTAGATTTCACTACTAGTAACCATTCAACTTTAATTAAGAACTTGTGACTTATTGGTAAAATCAAGGAAATCCGCCCATGATACACCTATAAAAAAATTCAATCCTTACTATCAATGACTGGAAGAGTCAAAAACCTTTGCTAATAACATATAGTTATTTTTTTGAATTGAAGGTTTCTGTCAAAGTGGCCCCATTAACCTCATCGTTGAGGAAATTTGTATCTGAAAAGCTTGCTACCACCTTGGAGGTTCTATATAAAAATAATGTGGGCAGAGTGATAGCATACAACTTTCTCTTCCAATTGTTAAGCAGGGTTCCTCAATTTCACCACTCCTCTTCAACTTTGTCACTGAGGGCATTTTGGTAGCAGATCTGACGAGAGCACGTCGTAGTTCTAAGGATATATAGCCTGGAAATAGATTTTTTGATATCAAACTGTACAATGATACTCAGCCTATGCAGAGCACACTATCAAGAGCCTGTGACTTCACTTACTCTGGGTAGTGGACGATTAGTAGTCGAGAGATTTGTGTACATGAGTGTTAGTAGTGGCGTTCTGCTCTATACTTTTGAAACCATTGCCCTATAAGTTGAGAATTTTAAACGACTTCCCATGCTCAATCAAAGTTATTGCCAAAATACTGCTGACATCCAGTGCAAAAGCTTTACCTTTTCCAAGTAGGATGTTAGTTTCGGTAATTTAGACGTCTTACGAATATCTTCCTAGTAAATTCCATGCTGTGTAGTATTTGTCGAGACTGAAAAAAGTTGGAGAAAGCAGAGGTGATTAGTTTAAGACATAGCGTTGGAGTACTGAGGAAATCTGTATTTGTCTGCCCTCCACGATTCCCTAATAGGGGTAAGAAATAGTGCAACTTGGTGTCTCGAGATGGCATCAGACATGGCTCAGAATAGAAATCAACGGTTGTCCTAGTGCACTTCTCCTCTATTTTCTCCATATAAGTGCGGCGCTTCGTTAACTGAAAGGACTCTCTGTTTGCATCTAGCTAATCGAACTGTGGATCCTACCACACACCACTCTCATTCACTGATTTTACTCATTTAGTTACTCACCTTTACCTATCTGTTCACAATTTCATTCACTTATTTCTGTGGTGCATATTTATTTTGATGCTTGTTTGTACTGGTATCCTTATTTCGAATAAACAAAACAGTATACAGTAACATATATAAGTATTTGAGAAAAATTGAAAACTTTTTTGCAATATCTATACAGTTGACTAAACAGATTTTAATATGGCACAAATAAAATAACCGTGTAAGGATAACATTTTTAGAAGTCATTGTAAAGTAAGTTTGCTTCGCTGGTTCATCATTTTTGTATAAGTCCAGTAATCAACAATAAATGATTCAAACTATAATACTTCTGCTACTACTACTACTACTACTACTACCAGTAATTATAATTATAATATAATGACAGAAATAATATTTTTCTGAACACATCAATGTTGACTTTTGTTCGTTGTTTTTTTTTGACATGAAATCGATAATCTAATCAATTTTAGGTCAAGGGTTATAAATGTCATGGTAACAGAAAAGAAAATACTAATAACAATAATATTAATCGGTACATAATTTGAAGACGAAATTGAAGCAGTTAGTAAAACTGTAAGAACAATTAATCGAATAGTTACTTTCATCTCTTAGATTTATTTCATTTAAGATGATGAATTTCACTTTGCGAGACAAAGAACAAGAGACTTACATCCAAATAAAAAGGAATTGACTATATATGGAAATAACATACACTTCATATATTTTGCTTTGAGGCAGACATCTATAATAAATAAATCTATACGTATTTAACCCGAAAATTAAGCATATCATTGACTACTAAGGAAATAAATCAAAATTTAAACTAAAACCTCTTTGTGGTACAACTGGATAGTGAGAGAAACTGTTAGCTAACTTAGGCAGTCAATGAATATCAGACCGATCACCTACATTGCTCTATCTCAATCAATCAGAGTCCACTATTCGTGGCTCACAAAAATCGTAAACGTCAACTCGATATGTATGTACGCGTATTGAATTGCATAAACTTAGGCTTATGTAGTGTGTAGGTATATCTGAAGGGTACGCACCAGGTCCGTAAAAGAACAAGATCTGGACAGTCTGTCCTATGTCTTGTACAAGGATGAAAGCATATGTACGTAACGTACTAGTAAGTTAGTAGTAGAAAATCTGAACAAAGTGGTGGCAATCTACCATCCCAAGAGGCGGATATGGCTACATGTATAACAAAGGATGCATAAGTGAACAATTAAGTTCCTGGTGTACATTTAAAGTATATTTGTCCTCAGAATGAGGACGTTTATATGTATGCAGTAGGAATGCATGAGTGAAAGTTTATGTATTACCAGTATGCATGTAACGTAAACTTGCTCATCGTGCAATACATGCGCGCCAACACACACGACGCTTTTACGATTCCCCACAAGAAAATACATTCACGTGATGGGTTTATAAGCCTCGAAAAACCTATTCTTTTACAGAAGGTACAATTGGCTTCACAACCTCTATGGCTGGAACACCACACTGCACCGTAGGGCTACCAAACACTAAAAAAAAATTTATTTTAAATGAGATTTGAATTTCTGACACACTGGTTGATATTTAAATGCCTAAAATAATGAGCCTTCGAATTAAATGACTTAATTTGCTAAAACATTTCAAACATAAGAAGTAGCAAACCTTCAATTCAATGTACATCTTGATGTTTGGTGTTTTATTCAATCAGTTCTGGCAATATAAATACAATCCTACTTTGTTTATTCAAAGACGAAGAGACCAGTACCGAAGAATAACTATGGTATCTACACTATCAGTTAGTTAGGTTACCACTCTTACACTGAAAACTTCTCTTTAGCCAAGTCCATAACACATACAGCATAAAGTTTGATAAATATAAATTTGGAAGTAATTTTTTTTAAAAAATCGCAAAATTTATCAAATTCACATTGAGTATAGATCATAAACAAAGAAATTCCTATTCCGTTTTTCTATATTAACTTAATTCACAAAACTACATATATACGTCTTACAAAAATTTATGACCTGATATTATAACTAGTAATGCGGTCGTTGATAAAAAAAAAAAGCCTGTTGTATAAGGTTATGTAAGATCAGCTTTATTTAATAAATTCATACATAATATATCAAAACTATCTAAAAAAAGAAACAAAGTAGATGATGAGTAAATACTCTTTGTAGGTGTGTGTGTGCGTGTGTGCTACATCAAAGTCTGATATTGATTAAGAATGAAAACATTTCCAGGCTAAATTGAACACAAAAAAAAACTAGTTATAAAAATAATGATAATAATAATAATAACAACCAGTATTGTGGTTGGCTGTTCATTTATTTGAGAGATATCAGACAAACCACTGGATCGATAACACATGATAGATTTGTTTACTGTATGTGTAAAAGAAAGAATTTTACAAAATTTCTTCATTTAGAGTGCAAAAATTATAAGCATGAATAGAACTGTTTGCAAATTTAAAATAACCAGTTAATAACTATTATTTATTGCATGATATATCTGTTTCTAAGATAACAATATTTTCACAAACCAGACAACATACGATATTTAATCATACCAACAGTAATAATCCTAGGTTCTTATTGATTGAGTGAAAATAGTTTTAAACTTTTGAAACTATGAATGATTGAAGAAATTTGTTTTCAAATATCGGATGATTTTGAAGTTAGAGAGATCGAAATCCTACTGCGAATTGCAAGTGAATAATTCTAGTGCCTGCTATATATGTATTATTCACAGAAGTTTATTATATCTAAATACATTTCGAGGAATCTGAAAAGACCTAGTATAAAACGCATCGATACACAGACGCCTCAGTTCCATCTTTGATTAAAGTAAATCAACCTAAAAAATAACTATAGTGATTTACACCTTAGAAGGTACTACATTCATCCGAGGTCCTTCTAGGGTTAATGCCAGCCCAAAGACCGGATAGAGAAGGAGGGTTGGGTATGAATTTAGAAACCCCATTCCATTAACAACAACTTGCCGAAACAACACTAATCGGAAAAAATAATCGAAAACACTTGACCTCTGCCCTGGCAGTTGAAGCGAATGTCAAGATAGTTCTACTGTGTGGGTTGGAAACTTGGAGAATCCCGAAAGCCATCATCTGGAAGATACAGGTATTTATTAAGTTGTCTGAGCAAGATAATACGGAACGGTTGGCCAGACACCGTCAACAATGACCTACTGTGGGCGAAAACAAACCAGATTCCAACCCCAGAAGGAATTAGGGAAAAGTGCTAGAAGTGGATAGTACACATTATGAGAACCACCTAACTGTGTCACGAGGCAAGCCCCAATATGGAATCCTCAAGGCCAAAGGAAAATAGGTATATCAAAGGATACGATGCGCTGACAATTGGAGTCAGACATGAAATGCATGGGTAGCAAATGCTAACGATCGGATAGAAGAGTCCAGGATAGAGTTAATCGGAGAACGCTGGTCGGCGGCCTATGCTCCATTACGAGTAACAACCGTAAGTGATAATATTTATTAACTACTGAAACTTCAACAAGTAAAGATTTGTGCAGTTATCTTTGAGATACAATGCAAATATGGAGGACTAATGATATACCTATGTCACTGAAAATGAAGTTTGTACATACAACCGAATTTTCGGAAGTCGAATACTCCAACTAGTGAACTTTCATTTCAAAGAGGTCAACCGCTTTGTAAAACAAATACACATACATAAGGAAAAATTGCAATAAGTATATTTTCGAACTCTAAAGCATTTTTACAGATGATTATGTATATCGATGTGTATATATATTGTTTACTTATTCTGATTGCTCTGAACAATAAAACGTCATACGAAAAAAAATCACGTAACATTTGATTAATTGATACATTATTACCGCTGTCAATCTGATCAAGAGAGAGAGGGAGAGAGGGAGAGAGGAAGAAGGTAAGTAATATACGAATACAAATAGATAAAATATTGCTGTTCAAAACAAATAAAATAAGATTTGTTCAAAAAGAAAGCAAACACACTCTGACAGTAATACATACATAAAATGGCTTTAGAAGTGAGATAAAAGCTCAGGGCAAAATCTGAGGTACCATTAAATTAAAACAAAGAAACAACCAATACAACTTTGGTGGATTTGGAAATCACATAACATAATTGCCTTTTACAACAAGGCACTGGTAAACAAAGAGGAATGATTGACAAGAAAAAAACAAACAAACAAACAAGTATGTAGTTTAATTGATGATAAATTAGTTGTTCGTATTCAAAAAGTGATAAAATGTTTATAGATATAGTTTTATTAAAAGTTTTAAATACACCCGTAAATGAACTACGGAAGACATTGACATACAATTGAGAAGAGGGCATTTAAAAAGAGAAAATAGATAAGGAATGAAATAGGGTTGCAAAGAAAAAAAAACCAAAAACCATATATACGAATGTTTATTTTTACACTAATCCAGTAATCATCAACCTAGAAACTGATAAATTAGTATAGACAATGAACGTTTATAGAACATTAAACAAAATGTGAATAATAGTCAAAATTAGCGAAATGTGACTGATCTGCACTCATTAGACTAGGACGTTCCCTAGCTGGTGTAAGAACTGCTCTTTCTCTAGTGAATTCTTTATCGAAATTCGACACATCTTCTGGATCAGACTGTAATTTAAATTTTAAAAAAAATGAGAATTAGATTTAATGATCAAACAGTTGGAAGTTCATTAAACATAACAATTTACCTAAGATCTAGTTGATTTACTATGACTACAAAAAGAAAGAACTATAATAATTGTTAAGACATTTCAATATAATGATAGATCTTTATGCAAACAACAAATAACTTACAATTTCAGGAACAAATGGTGGTTTTATTTTTTTTGCCAGCAGAGCTGTGAAATCTAGTTTACGGAAGAATGGTTGCCTTTTGATTTCTACTGCATCTTCAGCTGTAGATCCCAGACGCAATGTAGCATTTCGGCGAAGTAAGCGCCTCATGATTACTTTAGCTTCCATGCTTACATGATTAGGATAGCAAACGCTACGATTAACAATACTGTCGAAAATTTCTTCTTCACTTTCACCAGGGAATGGACACTAAAAAAACAGAAAAATAATTGTCACAAAACTTTAATTAAAATTTTTGGATTTTTAACATCCAAATTATTTGTGGTTAACGAATTAAAGCACTAAAAATTTTCTTAATTTGAAAATATCTCAGTTAGTTTATATTTTTTTTGGTGATAGGCATTATCTAAAGGGCATTTAAAACAGATAAATGAATGTATTTTAGGTAAAAAAACAGACATTTTTATTTCGCTTACTTCACCGACGAGCATTTCGAAAATGAGAACACCTAAACCCCACCAATCTACAGCACGTGTGTACGAAGAATCTGTAAGAACTTCAGGCGCCAAAAATTCTGGTGTCCCACAAAATGTCGAAGTTCGGTCATCTGGTCCCATACCTTCTTTACATAAACCAAAATCAGCCATTTTTACAAAACCTTCCGAATCTAACAGCAAGTTGTCCAGTTTTAGATCCCTGAGATAGTTATGTCCATATTTTTGCAGAAAAAAAACAACACAAAAACATCAATACGTCGATTAAACATTAACTCACAACAATAAACAGATTATATTTTCAGTGATAATTAAAATGATCATAGCAATAAAAATAAACAAAGACTAACTATGTCACACCCAATGAAGAAATTTGTCATAGATTTGTATTTATGTAGGTACGAATACTGTTCATCTTTAAAAGTGACATTTGACAATGACCCAACGGGAAAAGTTTCTAATTTGGCAGAATGTCTCACACATAAGTCTCGTGCTGAGTTACACTTGTTATCAACAAGATGGAATAATTTTTGCTAATGATGTAAACTATTTTTTTGGTTTATTCGATATTATTCAAATAGTGATCAATATAAAAATACTGTAAATTCACTATATTTCATAAGTATTCTTTTCATTTACTCTGTTTGTATCACTACATATGCAGAATAAATTTCGTAATAAATTTGTATCGCTGATCTATGAGAAATTTTGACTAGGATACAATTTAGATGTATGTGTATTTATGAACAGACAATATTATTTGTTATATGCTAATCTGGATACGGAAGTTAAACAACAGTGAATAAAGTTTGCTTGTTATTTGTTATCGTTATTTAATGTTTACATATTCAGTAAAGATTGTTATAAAAAAGAATAGAATACAAGTACAACTATACAGTAGTTTTATCATCTAATATAGATGACTTTTTAAACATAAACAATACACATCATCTTGTTAGGCCAATTAGACGAATGACCAAATTACAACTCGATCGATAGAAAGTGAACAGTACACTGTAGAACAACAAAATCTAACATCGGCTACTACAATTAAATAATTAATTAGGTTAGTCAATAACTATCTTGAATTATATTTAATGAGCGGGCATTACGTCCTTCTTTAGTAAAGTGTATCAATATAAAAAAATGATTGATAGTGATAACTGATAACTTCATATGTATCAGATAAAAGCAGAACTTAAAATAAACGATTTATTCGAATTGATAAGATGCATCAAAATTTCAGATGATTTTTGACAGAAAAAGTAACTTCATATGTTTGACTCTTATAATTAATCTGAAAAGAAATCACGACTAGCATAGAACTTGTATGATATAGACATTAAATACATCTTAGTAAAGCTATGAGACGAGTAAAAAAGTTATCTGAATAAAATTCGTTGTAGTGCAATTTTGGATTGTTATATCGATGATCAGTCTGGTGGCATTTTAACTGAGTACAAATTACAGTAAAATGGAACACTATTCAAGAAGAACATGTGATATTAAACATGCTAAAGCAGTCAATCGTTAGACAGTTTTCCTTGGATAGATTTTAAGAAAGGTATAATAACTATATTCAATTAAGCAGTAGATTGTTTTTATCTAGAATAAGAAGTTCAAGGCGAGTTGTAATTAGCTGATTAGACAACATTAACTAACGAATTAAGCTACAACGTTATATACATAAATACAGTCTACATGTGAATAAGTTCTATGACTTCACGATTTACATTGTTCATAATGCATCCGATAAAAAACAACATTTACAAAATACAATAGATTCGTTTGATTCAGCAGTTATTTTTCGAAAAAAAAACACAACTAGAATAACAAAATGCAGTAAACAATAAAATTGAAACAATAAATGTGTTTATGATAAATAGAAAAATTATTCATATGATGATTACCGGTAGACAATTTTCCGTGAATGAAGGAATTCAATACCTAAAACAACACATCCAGCATAAAATACAGCTTGAGGTTCTGAAAACACATTCTGTTGAATATGTAACATGAGATCACCACCTTGTGCATACTCCATCACAAACATTACATGCTCCTGTTAACAAAAAAAACAATGAAGTAAAGTGACAACCGAAAAATCAATACTGAGGATTTTAATGAAAAGATATGAAATGCAGAATTTATGTAAATCAACACGAGAAATAGCGATCATTTGTAATACGATGAATGTAAATAATAGATGAAATTATTTTAAATTAAGGTATATTGAAACATTTGTATGTATACGAAAAGCACAAATATACAGGTGTTGCCTAGGGAATGCTTAATTTGAAAATTTTCCTAAATATTATCTAGTTATTTAGTCCTTTGAGAAGTAATGTGTGAAGTAGTAATTGAGTAAAATAGGTAGTGAATTAGTTAAAAACACTTAATTTGTATGATGGTTTTGGGAATAAATTCAGAGAGAGATGAGAACTGTCTAAATATTTGTCAAAAAAAGCCTGTTTAGCAACTTTATGCAATTCGTTCCACTGATAAATTTCAATAAAAGAACAGTTTATCTCAGTCAAATCCCAGGCCACCAGAGACAAGCTATTTAAGATACATGCATAGAAAATTTTCATAACTCACTTTTTGAATATATCTACAAAGACAATTTAAGACTTCTAAATATTTAACCACATCCCAAGCTATTAGCATTCACACGTATTATGGTTGGCCTATTAATCAGTATATTCATCAGTTCGAGGTTGCTTATCATTCTTTCCAACAGTAAATATAATGAATTTACATCGCTACGCTTGCCAGCATGTATTTAGTTACAGCGCAAAGTATGATAAAAAATCTCCCGTTTTGTTTCGTGTACTTTTCAGTAGAATCAAAGGTAATAGGAAAGTAAGACGAAGAAATTAATGTGTAGTGTTTACTGCAACGAGGAAGATCAAATAAATGTTCTGTAGTCTGATGGATACAGCGAAAGACTGATAGCATCGAAAAATTATTTATTTCATTTATTTAAACACATAAACATTGGTACAAAAAGAGAACCTAAAAATATATCTACTACACAAATCAATGAATTTGTGTGTGGGCTGAGATACTGCCCGAGTGCCCCAGCCAAAACAGATAGTTTTCTTGAAAGGCTACTCTCGGAGCCTTTGACATACAAGTCGAATTCACAAAGCAGTAGAGAAATGTTAGGACACCAAAGGTAGACACTGACCAATGAATAGGTTCATATGCCATTTGTTCCCTCAGAATCATGGAGCCCAGGTACATCACTGTTTGAAGTCAGGGATTTCCCATTTACTTGGGTGGATCCTTGGTACCTAGTTACCCGGTATAAGTACCGAAAATTCGCTTTCCGTCCTGTCAATACCCCAGCCACGAGAAGGCAGTGGGTAGGACTTCAGCGAAAGTGGTTATATACATGCAATGATTAGAGCCGGCAAAGACACGCTGAGCTTTCTGAGTCCGTGTCGAGATTTAGTCAGACACTAAATCAGTACAGACTTTCAAGACCAGAGAAGTGGTTTATGCGCTCAGCTACTTTACCCATTAGTTCAGACGTTTGCACAAACCAGTTATGAGGGGAAAGAATCATATACTAGAGATGCTTGTCTGGTTTTTCAAGACAATAGACCTACTTTGCGTTTTTGTAGTGTCTTCACCAAACAGCATCATATCATCTGGAGATTCCAAGTCAACAATTGAAGCTGATATTTTAGATAATATATTAGTTATGATGATTTCTCAGTGATTGTCACAACATAATTTTTGTTCCTTTGTGTACACTGGAACGATCTCAGATCGAGACCAGTAAATATGAAACTATGTCAATTTCCCAAACTTAAGCTAATATCTCAAGACAAAATAGTCGTCGGAACCGGATCATCATCCTTACATATATTCGAGGTTAATATATTAGTGCACACTGCTCCTTGTTTTAGACCAGACAGCTTATTCTCAACTTATTCTCTTAATAGAAGTTGAACGACTTGCATCGATTTTTCATTGACGTTGTTTAGAGATAGAAACATAAAAAAGAGGGATACCGACCGATTAACGTAAGATGCGAAAATATTCTGAAAATGACATTCTGTAAACAGGGTTTCGTTGAAGGACAAAATAACCAGTAAATTCCTAGTATTGGGTTCGTTTTGTCATGCAGTAAGCCAACAGGTAGACCAAAAATAAGGTGCAAGGAACATTAGTCAGTAATTTCAGTGTATGTAAGTAAAAAAGGTGGTTAGAAAAGCGTTTTGGAGCGGTAAACAGAGATATCGTACAGAAAAATAAATTGACCCGAGAAATAATATCTAAAAGGCAATGACTGAGAAAATATTGCAGTGATAATGAACTAACATGATAGAGACAATACGATAGAGGAAAAACACAACAAGACAGCTATCGATTATTAACGAAACTAAGAGATATAATATACGAAAAACTAAAACAAAAAGGGTAAGTGGTGAAAATGTAGCTGACACTTTGGCTGTGAACCATTGACTATGAAAGCAGAAAGTATGAGCAGACTGCAAGCATGTGGTGATATAGGTGTCTTTAAAGTACTTAGTGGTTATGGTGGATTAGAACAAGGATATAGAGTAAAAATGACAACCAGACTGATGAGGCTGCATATCTTGATCAACTGAGGAGCTTATGATACGCGCTATTCAAGACTAACTACAACGTAAACTGATTTGCTCTGTTGGGTGGCACAAAGCAGGTTGTAACAGAACTAGAGACGAACAGATTACCAAACTATGAAGGATCCACACAATACTCATAACCTACCGTTGGAGATTATGGGATTCATAACTGAAAGTTAGTCGTAGTGGCTCCAAGTGTCGTCCCTAGCTAAAAACTGTTTGATCTTGTTTCTTTTTTCTGTACTGTGTCTTATTCTTTGACATCCACTGAGGGTTAAACTGAGTGTTCTACTTTCCTTCTTGCTTTGTAGATATCCTTTCTAGTTAAGCTTACGTGAGGTGTGACAATCTGGACCGGTACACATTTGTGCAAGATTCTACTAACACTACGATTAAAGACTGAGATATAAACTAAAAACAGACTTACCTTTGTCTGAAAGCAGGCAATTAGGTTTATGAGAAAAGGATGCTTAGCATCAGTAATTATTTGGAAAATGCGTTTTTCTGTCATCAATGTATCAACTTCATTACGAAATATTATCTCCGCCTTCTTTAAAGCCTTTATGGCGTAATACTTATTATCTCGACGGTATTGAGATAGCAATACTTTGCCGAAATGACCACGTCCAAGTACAGCTACAGTGCGGAAATCAATCATGCTGAGAACTGCTGTGGATTTGTTTGACGGCGCTATGAATGAAAGGCAATTACAAATAATGAAATTAGCGAAATTGATATTAATCTTCAAAATATTTAGGAGTTGATAAAAGGATTAATGCAAGCTCCTTAATTTATGCAATGCAGATTGAACTGAACTAAGATTTAAGATGATGATTACTATTATTGGCGATTGTGCAATTTTCCGCAGACAGCTAAAGCAAAAATTAGAGTTGGCAATAATCCGGAGATGGAAATTCTAGGGAATGTTTCAAGTAGGCTGTGGTGAGATTTAACTGGTTGGGTTTTCAGCCATTTCCTACTATTTATAAACTCAAAAGTAAAATCTGGGAACAGAAAGGTTATGAAAGATGTGATTGGGATACAAAGATAAGTGAGATTAGTATGTCATGATTGATATCAATATCTGACTTGACAGTCTTAAAAAACTGACAAACAGATAGTTTGTATTGTTTAGTCAATCAAGAGGTTTTTATTAGGTCATTCATTTAGATAGCAGAAATAAGCCGTTTCCGTTGCTAAGTTACTTGTCACGAATACCACCACTTAACCAACCGACAAAGAGTAGACAACCTCAAAAAGTAACCTAAGTTCGGTAAGTATATCGATTATTACTCATAAAAATGAATATAAAACTTAAGAGTTAAGAACGGACCTCGTTACAACCATGGACAAAATATGAGCAAAACATTCTGCGATTAAATTGTCTCAAATAAAGTCAGGTAAGATATAGAACTTACATTCAGTAAAAACTTCAGATACTGAAGTACGCGGAAACTCTGAAGTGAGAATATCTTTTGTTTTCTTTTCTGACGACAGTACGACAGGACCAGAGTTAGATCGTTGCACATCCATATTAACATAATCTGCAGAACGAGAATCAGCATCTTTCTGACCATCAGATATCGCTTCTTCAGTACCCAGGTGTTCTGGACTGGCGTAGTCTGAAACACGGGAGGGGATAAGAGTTTTATAGGAGGTGTTATTGTCCACGTCATATTCTATGATAACTGGAGCAACATCGTAATCCGGTGCAAATGAAGATTCGATTCCAATAGCAGTTGGACGACGATGGGATGTCAGTGAATAGTCGATAACATCATCACCTAAGTGAGACTAAATATAAATAAATAGATATTTAGACATTTTATTAACAGTCTCAATTCGTGTTCATAAATTTTGATTCTCAAAAATAGTACAAGTTATGATTACCAAATTTCAAATTAGGCATGAACACAGAGATATACAAGGAACAATAATCTGAAAACCACCAATGCAACAACCCAACTGTGTGAAAAGTTACAGGAAAATTTGAAACAGTATGATATTACTCAACACCAGTATGATGACAAACATACATATAAAACCTTATATAGGTTATGATTATGCTATACAGATATGCGGATTATTATCAAGAAAATGCAAAAACAAAAAAAGTTTTCACTTTGAGTTTTAGTTGCCCCACCGACCTTTTTACCATGACCCAGCATATCGTATAACAACAGGGGTTTAAAAATTCCCAAATCAATTCAGACACTCACTTTTTCAGGTAGGATTTTTATTTCCTTTTCAGTCAATGAAAATTTTTTTCCCCGTAAAGCATCTGGTTCACGAACAATTGTAACTAACGGACGTTGTTGAATAGTCGTATTAGTAATATTGACTGATTTGGTGGGGAAGGCAGATGGTGATTTTTGATATTTAGGAGTATTTAAACGAGATTTGCCGTTACAAGCCTACATATATGCAAGCAAATTCAAAATAATAAAAACCTAGAAGACTTAGGAAAAGATTAGTAACCTTAGTAATCATAAATGAGGAAAATAAGCGATATTCTAAAGTCCTAGCTAATGAAGCCTGTTGCCGCACTTGACACAATGTCGGTACATTAAATGCTCCAACATGTAGTTTAGAACGGGGCTTCAAGAGACCAGGAATAAATTTTCGAGGACTCGAATCGTTTGCATTAGCTGTGCAGTGTGATAAAGGAATGTAAGAAGAGTTAGTCGTGAAGATAAGAGAGGTATTAGGGAGTGTAGGAAGGGTTTGATTTTGACCAATATGGTCTCATGTGCTGTTACCGGTATGAGGGCGGTTGTCACTTCCCGGCTGCCCACACCCTGGAAGGTTGTTTCTTGAGGAACCTGAAAAGGAAGGTAGATTAGCGTTGGTCTTAACGACCTGGGAGCGTGACCGCAGAGTCCAAGTGACAGACAGTTCGCCATAAGCTCTGACTCGACCAGTAGTGTTTGAGTAGAGAGCCTGTATAATGTCAACGTACTTCTCTCGTACTCCTTTCAGTGATAAACACTGTCATAGAACCTCACGATCGATAGAGTCGAATCCTGCCTTGAGGTCGAGAAATACGATTATGGTCGGACGTCTGAACGTGTGTCTATATTCTGGGATCTGACGTAGTGTGAATATATTGTCTAAACAGCCACATGCAGGTCTGAAACCGGCTTGGTTTTCTCCAGTCTGCTGTACACAAACCCTAGTTAGGCGTCGAAGTATTATCGACGCTAACGTTTAGGACACTATAGTGGTTAAGCTGATTCCTCTGTGATTATGCAAGACTCTTGTTCTTCCTTACAGACAGGGATAATCAATCATTGAAACCTATCAGATGTTATTACGTCTAGTTCTCAGATTATACCTAAGATCTCAAGTCAATCTCACTGTTAACATTGGACCACCTTCCTTTAAAATCTCAGGGGTTAACCCATCAGAGCCTGTTGCTCTCCGTCGCCTTGGATTGTCCGATGCCTTCTCCACCTCATTAGGAGTCGGAAGACATACATCAACTTGCCATTCCAGGTGACTGGAGACCCTGGATAGCCACTGTGGTTGAAGGACAGTTGAACTGATTCCTAAAGTGTTCAGCCCATTGTCGCTATCTCCTGTCTCCAAGATATTGAAGTTGGCCGAATCAGGCTGGTTTTCGACCTGGACGTGGCTGTATAGACCACATCTTCACACTCAGACAGGTCCTGGAACACAGACACACATTCAGGCGTCCTACAATAGTTGTTGTCCTGGACCTAAAAGCTGCATTTGACTCCGTAGATCGTGAGGTTCTGTGGCAGTGTCTGTCATTGAAAGGTGTACCAAAGAAGTATACAAGCTCTCTACTCGAACACCACTGGTCGAGTGAGAGCTTATGGCGAACTGTCACCGGAATTCTTCACTTCAAGTGGTGTCCGTCAAGGATGTCCACTTTATCCATTCTTGTTTAATTTTGTCATAGACATGCCCTTAGAAATAACCTTATCCTCGTCTGAATAATCAGCAGTAAACCTTTTACCAGGTGGCTCGCTTATTGACTTAGAATATGCCGATGACATTGTCCTACTTGGTGAAGACGCTGACAAAATGCAGAGTTTTCTGACTACCCTAAGCAACAACGCAAGCAAGTTCGGGATGTGGTTTTCCCCCTCGAAATGCGAAATGTTTCTTCAAGACTGGGTTGCATCGGCACCTGAACTAGTGATAGGGAGTGGAGTAGTCGAACGTGTAGACCGCTTCACTTATCTGGGGAGTCTCATCAGTGCTGATGGCCGGGTGGCTGACGAAATCTCAGCTCGGATACAGAAGGCTCAATTGGCTTTCGCCAACCTGCGTCACTTATGGAGTAGGCGAGATATCCGTTTGCGCAGCAGTTCGCTCCGTCTTACTTTATGGCTGTGAAACATGGCCAGTGAGAGTGGAAGATATTCGTCGGTTACTGGTTTTCGATCATGTGTCTTCGAAGCATTGCTCGTATATTGTGGGACAACCGTATAAGCAATGCTGTCGTTAGGAAATGAGTACTAGGTAAGGATGGCAGATCAATCGATGAAGTGGTGAAACTTCATCAGTTGAGATGGTTGGGACATGTGTTGCGTATGCCTAACCACCGACTGCCTCGAAGAACTATGGTTTGTGGTGTAGGAGTAGGCTGGAAGAATGTTAGGGGCGGCCAGACCAAAACATGGCAGAAATCCATGAAGTCATTGACGAGTGGACTGAGCCATGTCGGTAATTGTCGACTACCTGGTTGGGGTCCGCAAGATGATAATAATCAATGGTTAGGGACCTTGAACGACATTATTCAAAATCGTTTTCAATGGCGCAAGTGCATCCATTCTTTGAGCTCTCTCAAATCCTAATCTTCTGGATTCGTCAACCCCCCTACTTTTGACTTCCTAAACTTTTCTCACTGAATCATACTTCTTGAATAATGTCTTATAATCCTTACCTCTGCGATTACTTTTAATACCTTTACTACCTCTTCTACTATTGGATTTGAATTGACAATTACATCTCTGTGCTGATGTGGTATGGCGACATGAACTGATGTACTTACGTATGAAATTCTGCGTTGCATCTAACTGACTGACTGAAAGCGGATGGAGGGAAATCAGACAGACTTAAGCAATCACATTAATTGTTGTGTCCTATTAAACATAAACTATCCTGGGGTATGTATCAAAGTATGATAACTAGGAGATAATTTACAGTATTTATAAATACTTTTAACTTCGGTACTTCATATCAACTCTCGTCCGGTTAAATAACAACATGAAACGAAGTATTAATATACTGGTTTTGCATTTTCTGGCTCATTAAACCGTATGTTTGTTAAAGTTTTCAGACGTGACTCATAATAAAAACAAGTGATGACTGTGCTAACATTTTTAACCTGAAATGTCCTTAAATAGTTTTACTCTTACCGTAATACGATTTTTTTTATTTCTCAAGATTACTTTTACTTCATTCTACCGTAGCACACGACAAACGCTAAACGATTAGACAGGATTTTCTATATTCAAACTACATATTAAGGATGTGTGGCAACTCGGCAGAAGTGTAGCTTTACGAATGATGAGTGATGAACAAACAAATTATTTGACAGACCAAAGCTTAACACTTGAAATGATAATCGTAGAATATAGTACCTCAGCCAAATATTCATAACGAAAAACATATCAGGATAAGTCTTAGTGTTTATTGTGCCGAGTATTAATTGTAAAATAAAACAATAGAAAGGACAATGAAAATAGCATACCCCATAGTCCCTAGTCTCATGGAAGGTTATCAATTACAAAAACATAAAGTATATGTGCCACAATAGAACACTGATAACTTGATTTGCACAAAAGTGCATAATTTTTATAGCTTTATTGGCTAAGCTAATTTATATGCTCCACATATTTAAAAAAGGTGATTAATACCAGTAGTCGTTCAAACTATAAATAAGTAAAATAACAGCAAGCAAAACTCACCTGAGAAGAAACTGGTGAACCACTAAGAGAAGTATTAAGCTGTTGAAAGCGACCCTCTAGACCATGCATCATTACAGATCCTGAAGATCCATATTCTCCTGAGTGACTGAGTGTCCATGAACCACTGACAGCAGAACGATTCATTTTAGATAGCTGGCCGCTCTTGAGCAAACGAGTCCATAAGGGTACATTAATATCAAGTTCATTAATACGAGGAATATTGTGTCCTTCATATTAAAAAAAATGCACAAATAAAAACGTGACTTTTGGATAAGTGTACGGAATTGTCTGTCAATAACAAAACATTTATAAAAAAATATAAATTTCTCATTACCGAACCAACAAAACATACACTTATAGTTATGATACGAAAGGATCATTAAAAGCGAATAGTAAAAAATGTAATCGTATAAATGCTTATGGACATAAAAAAAAAACAATAGTACGGTTATATACGTAGTCAATTCAGAGTCGGCATATAAAATATGATTCAATTAACCAAACAATCGGCATCGAAATCCATCCTCATATACAAATGCAAATTAACATACACTATAGAATAATTAATCGATATGAGAAAACGGATAGTGAAAAGTAAGCCCTTATGGTTTTAAATGAAATAAATTACATTTAGAACATGTCAGTAACAAACAATAATAAATCAATTTAAAGACAGCTATCACCTCGATCAGAAAAGATAACTTCAGCGTAAAATACTCCTCTGATCACTTGATTTCAATACCCCTAGTTTAACAAGTAGAATCCCTAGCTGATTTTTCATTAGTACATTATTTTTGATTTCTTTCCTTAAATCATAAAAATTCAAATTAGACACCTTAAGACTATATTTTACTGATTAACTCTCAAGGTTACACCAAATAATTCGTCAACACTCCTGTAATGTATAATTTGACCACCACAGTAGCGACAATTAATGAAATCATATTCAGTGTTTATTGGTCTTCATGTGTTTACCAATTCTTGGTGTCTTGTATAGGAATCAAATCATAACAGATTGTAAAACGATCGAAAATTACTAACGAGTCAATTCGATCAAGAACGGGTTTCTGTACATGGCTGCAATCCGGGCGTATTGTGTTAGCGAAATCTCTCTCGAGATTGAATGAAAACAGAAAGTTTAAATTTGTGATCTAATAATCGACAATTAAGCGTTTATCCCTTTCCTTCCATGACAAAACAGAAATTATGTATTACAAAACATCTAACTCATTAGAAATAATAAAATCCTTCATGAACCAGAGTAAATGATTCAAAAACACAGATATGAAAAATAGCCCTCATAGAAACTTCTTCTGACTTCTGTTTCCTTCATACTTGGAACTTAATTTTCTCAAATATTTAGGATATTTGAGCAATTTTACTGATACTGTACTGGCCCTGATACGATCCACATTAGGTTTTAAGACAAACAACTGGTATCAGTTAATATTTACCTCATTTTTCGGTACAAGATGAGTTACTTGAAAGATTAGCAAAAAGGTTGATACTTTTGGTGAAATATCCCGTCTTAAGGATTGCTGAGATAATATTATGAGTTTTCACAGCAGATTTGCAATTGAGTCACGAGTTAAAAATCATTCCAGCCTACTTATAGTATCGGCTGAAAAACCTAGTTCTAAATATTTATCGTTCAAAGACTTATAAATTAATGGCGACTCAGGAGTATATGTCTATTTTTGTAGAGTATGAAACTATTTTAGGATGGTTGACCCAAAGAATAACAATGAATATTGCGAGCCAAAATTAAAACTTTCATAACAGAACTGTATTAAACAACATACCTTTGCGCTTAGAAAATAAGCGTTTCTGACGATGTAAGCCGCATCGAGGTTTGGAAAGAAGAGGATCAGAGAATTTAAGGACAAGGAAAACCTTACCCATTGGTAACATTGGAAGCATTATGGAACGTGATTCACCACCAAGTAGTTCCTCAAGGCGTACATAACTAGAATGAAATTTTAAAAAAGTTTTATTTGACCAGTAGAAACATTCACATATATATTGAACTTTAATAAAAGTGAATGACATACTTTACAGCTGCTAAAACCCATTCTAATCCAGAACCAGAATCCTCAGACGAAGAACTTTTGGATGAAGCAGAGGACCCTGAAGGACTGGTAAAAGAACTTGGAAGATACATACGCTTCCAATAAACCTGAACTTCCAGTTCTTTACCGCGGTCGATATTAAATGTAGTTTTTGAGTCCCAACACTGTTGATTAGGTTGACGCCAAGGTGAATCCCATACACGTTTATGATCAATCAATAAAGAGCATCGAACATCCGCTTAAAGTAAAAATGAAATAGTTTTTAACAACCATGAAAGGAGAAATAGTATATACATATATATAAAATAAATGAAAGAGCGAGACGATGTGTCAACCGAAACCCATGGTTGTGTAAATTTAATTTATGTTCAAAACTAAAACAGATAAACTACAAAATGATTGATTATTATATGATTATATAAGCTGAACAACATTTCCCTTACATATAAGACTGTTAAGGGAGTTAGTAAAACATGATAAAAGGTTGAGTTCTCAACCGTTTTTTAAACCGATGGGTTCTATCTTATGTCAGATTATAAGCAGACCACCTACCTCATCAATTCTATAGATAAAGAAACTAGTTTCACTCCTTTTCTGAAGTCATATAGCGATACTGAATCGGTACCAAAAACAAAACCTCTAGTAGATTGAGAAACTTAAAAAAATTGATCAATAAAAACTGAACATTAAAGAATCAAGACCATGAATATCACAGCACTAGCCCACTGCAAGGACTAGATGTAATCTAAAAGTTTTTAACTCATGAAGTAAAACCGCAAGCACTCAGATTATAGCATCACTAAGTTAGGTCTAGGGATATCATTCGGGTGAGTAAACCGAACTAAGTGAATTCCATGAAAAACCGCAACCTAATAATCGAAAGTCAAGTCACTGCTTCACAACAAAGAATAAACTCTTCACAAATTACCAAAACTAAATTAAGTTCACATAATACTTTTAATTAAACCCCATTTATACAAAACCCGAAAATTTTTAAAAATATGACTTGATAACCAGACAATGAATAATGATTACACTCTTTATCAATCTATTTCTTGAACTTTTATTACTGATCTGAACTTTAAACTTCTCTTTCCATGAGTGAACCAAAAATTTACGCAGTCACTGTTGGGCATAACAGTTAGATTGATCAAAAAAAGCATTCGACTAGACCTTTAGAGGTAAAATATTAAATATCAGGCTATGAATAACTTACCCCAGTGATTATCAGATGTGCGAGATGTCAAAATTGATGGCAGAGAATTAACTCGGGTTGTCGATGTGCCAGAAAGTTCATTATTTACAATTTCAGCTGGGAAATGATCAACGATATCCTGACAACCTAAGCAGCGAACCTCCAAACTTCCAGTGATTGCAGTGGGTGGACTGGGAATTAACAGTGAGCTACTGGCATGAAACGAAGTATTACTACTCCAAGGTGAGGATAAAAGTACAGTCATCTCAGGATCATCGACGATAGCAGAAATCATTTCGGGGAACTGTGTTGGTGGCGGTTTTTTTAAAAGTGGCTTGATTGATTCTTGAAATAAGTAAAGCCTATGGAGAGACTCACGAGCCTCTTGTAACGCCTTTGGATACAAAATAAATCGTTGAGTTGGTATAAGTTAACACATTATTGACATTACGATACAAAACAAAATACATAGGATTCCGCTAAACGGTTTTCAAAACCAACCTTCAGATCCAGAGTTATGAATTGAAATGCCTCCCCAATCACATTTGCTTGGAAGTTCAGGTATCTCATGTTGTGTTTCTTCATAATGGTTTACGTGCCTGACGAACACCACTCGAAGTAATCATTTCTGAAGACAGTTCGCCATAAGCTCTGACTCGACCAGTAGTGTTTGAGTAGAGCCTGTATAATGTCAACGTACTTCTCTCGTACTCCTTTCAGTGATAAACACTGTCATAGAACCTCACGATCGATAGAGTCGAATCCTGCCTTGAGGTCGAGAAATACGATTATGGTCGGACGTCTGAACGTGTGTCTATATTCTGGGATCTGACGTAGTGTGAATATATTGTCTAAACAGCCACATGCAGGTCTGAAACCGGCTTGGTTTTCTCCAGTCTGCTGTACACAAACCCTAGTTAGGCGTCGAAGTATTATCGACGCTAACGTTTAGGACACTATAATGGTTAAGCTGATTCCTCTGTGATTATGCAAGACTCTTGTTCTTCCTTACAGACAGGGATAATCAATCATTGAAACCTATCAGATGTTATTACGTCTAGTTCTCAGATTATACTTAAGATCTCAAGTCAATCTCACTGTTAACATTGGACCACCATCCTTAAAAAACTCAGGGGCTAACCCATCAGAGCCTGTTGCTCTCCGTCGCCTTGGATTGTCCGATGCCTTCTCCACCTCATTAGGAGTCGGAAGACATACATCAACTTGCCATTCCAGGTGACTGGAGATCCTGGATAGCCACTGTGGTTGAAGGACAGATGAACTGATCCCTAAAGTGTTCAGCCCATTGTCGCAATCTCCTGGATTGAGATTGAATAATAGTTTCATCCTTGTGAAAGAGCATTGCGTGATAGAGTAAAGCTTTGTTGCATTGACATTTGTTAAGTGAACTGTACCCTTATTTTACTTTATGAATATACGGTGATATATTTCACGACAAATGTATGACTGTGGTGTTCAGTTTTTCAATATTTTGTTCTGACTGATATATGTTTTCCTGCTTTCTACTTCTCTAAAAAGGAGTTATTTTTTCTAGGATACACCTGTAAGTCTTTGATTGGCAATCATTATTTCAAACACAAACATCTCAACTCATAAGAGGTCGTCATATACTTCTAGACCAGACTCTTTCCATTTCACATAATTTTCCATTAGAGCCTAGGAAAAACACCCACATCCAGTTACGTCAACTAAGTAGAACAGTTATTAAATATATATACCGAATTTGCGGACTGACATTCGATAATACAGTGATCTCCAAATATCAGAAATATATTACTGCAAGGAACTCGAGGAATGTCTTTGTTTTTCAGATGTGACATACTGCCAGAGAAATACTGATTAGATTAAATCAGAATTATTTGTTAGTTAATCAAGCTGAACACCCATTGTAACACCTAGCACTAATGATTTACTGCATCATTACATTAGTTATCCGTTATTACTATAAAACCAAAAGTACGAAGTATAGACGGTAGTATTTTGAACCAGAAGATATGAATAGACTGTGCTGCATGTCTGGTATTAAATATCCTACAGTAAAATTTAATGTAACGAAATACAGATATATTCTTCACAATTATTCTAGCCAATCATAGTGGCCAGACGCAATGAGATCTCGTCGACCTACCACTGAACAGCACATACAACAATACAGCAACACAAATTAGCAAAAAGAACAAAGTGTATGTCTCATGGAAGTCAATTCATCTAACATACTATACTGATATAGTACCGCTTAATAGATTTGCACAAAATTACCGAACTGCGATATTCATAAGCTTTGTAGTCTAAAAACTACTCATACAAAGAAATGAGTGTACAATAAATTTAGAGTATCCAACAGATTAAAATATATATAGCATATAAATAAACCATATATTCACAACATGCAATCAAACGCTGAACTGAATATTTTGTATTTACTGAAAAAATAGGTTATTTATACATCAAAATGAGACAACTTCGCCTTAGCTAAGCCATTCAATACATTAAAGGATCGATGCATACAAAACGTAAGAAGAGACCTACCTGTAATTTTCTAGATTTGTCCACATGAACTTGGTTGTCTAAAACGGCACTAACAGCCTTTTTACTCCCCACGAACAAAGCTCTTTCAACTCGTAAACGGTGTGCTAATTCCATTACTTTATCCTTCCATATAAGGAAACTCTCTTGATTATTGGAAACAGAAGAGGTGTTGATAGAGCCATTTGCTTTGGTTGTGTCAGATATATTTTCCGAAGTATCTGGCTAAATGAAAATTATAAGCTAATGGATTACATATAATCACGGTAAAAACGAAAAAATTAAACAATGTTAGTGTTAAACTATGGTGAACTGCTAGGTTGATAAATTACTTTTTAATAGGATATAAGGTAAGATATTAGATCCGCAAAGTTACTTGAGTGTACCATGACTACCGAAACCATGAAATGTACATGGTATTCAAACTAGCTAAAAACATTAAAAGGATCAATCAAAAAACCAAAATGCTGCACACTCCCTTTAAAGCTAAATTTAGTTGACAAATCTAAAACTCCAGTACTTATAGCTATTCCATCGGAAGGAAATATTGCTGAGTGGAACTGAATCATTACCTTTTTATTACCTTTTGTACTTAAGGAAAAAAGCCTTAGCCATTGACCACATGAACTGAGCAGTAAAATAACTATTAAAGTTATACATGACACGAATTGAAAGCTAAACGAAAACTGTACCTGGGAAAACCCTTCATTTATTTGCTTGACTCGGATCATCTGATTTCGAATAAATCCGATTTTACTATTAGCATTCTCATACTGTTTTTTGGCCTCCTCATGAAGATGACGGGGACCCGGTTTGTACGTTTGGGTAAGACGTTCTGCTCCACTGCGAACCTAAATTATACCAGAAATCAAATTGAAATACAGTATTACCTGTAGCTCTATGTCCAACGCTTTCTGAAGTTCTAAGAGGCGCTGATCTACACTATCACCACGATTATTTGACTTAGAAAAAGCACTTTGTTGGTCTGAATACTTTATAATAAAGAAAAAGAACTACCTAAACTGGGTTGATAATGCTTTAGTAAAAGAAGTGATGTTTCCAAATCGCCTATATCGTCCGCAAGGTCTTGAATGTCACTGTTGATACCTTTAATAACCGCTGATGTAGTGACACGACTAGATTTCCGATCCAGCGTATAGCTTTCTTTAGATCCAGACAAATTTGATGAGGCCATGAAATCATTGCTCGAAGGTACGATAGCAGTAACACTCTTCCCTGCAGCATCTTGCAGTTTCTGAACAGCAGCTTTCATCTTGTATAGTTTTTGTAAATCCGAACGTTTGGAATCAAGGACATTCTTTAGTTCTTCAATGATGGAGTGATAAGGTAACTGTGGACTGATTTTGTAATGAGCAGCCAACTCACGGGCATATTCCTCATGCTCCTGAAGAGAGACATATGTTAAACTAAGAAATTACCATGGTGAGAGTCAGGTCCTAAATTTAGTAGTTTCGAAACGCTTAATTATTTAATATGCTGATGAATGACTGTACATATGAAACTCGAAAACCCCACACGAGCGTGAACACAATTTGAATTTGCGTTTGTAACCTCGCGGGTACCGAGCACGGAACGTGGAAAAAACATCCTTGGTTTAGATTATATGGAAATTTGTAATGCTTCATCATGCGGTAAAGACGGAAAACTTCCCAACTATTATATTTTTATGTTTTTTTAAGTGTATTTAAACAAGTCAGAGGTGAAAAATTGTTCTCCAAGATCATTCCCTAATAAAATTTTCCTTCTCGATTTCGATAGACAATGCTACTTGAGTGATGCCGGTAAAGTACCGCCATTAGATAACTCTGAAAACTGAACTAGAAGAGCTTACCTCCTCCTAAATATTAAATTCCATGTCCCACTTCTGTATCACTGTGTACGATCAAAAAGGTTATTCCTCCGGATCGTCATCGTCTTCTCCACTATCTAGTGAAACTAACGAGGCTAGCAGTAATGTTGATGACCCAAGGAACTGTTTATTCAGGTAATTTATTTACCTATACATGCCTCTCCTTTTGCTCAATGCTATAATGTCATTTCTGCTTCTGTCACTTTTATATCTGATATCTGCAACATATGCTAAGAAAAAATTTTCCGGAAAAGCAAGCTTCACCGGACGTTTTGTTTATTCAGAGTTTAGTAGCGCCATGACTTACTTGCGCGGTCACCATCTGCTCTGCACCTTCGCCCATTACTCTGGCACTTTCCAATATTCTTTCAATACCACTAAATCGCCAGCAAATACTCTAATTTCATGTGGACTATCCCGTATTCTCTCTATCAATACCAGATTTGAGATAAGGCTTGAAACCCGAACTTGACTGACTTGTCGACGTGTTCACAGTCTTTCGTCTAGAACATTTACGTCTTTAAGTTTTTCTGTATCAGATACTACCTTGAAAATCACAGTAGTAAATTGAATAGATGTAAATGGTCATTTGTTATACATCTCGTCGATACTGGATCAGAACTTTGCATCCTTTCTGCAACTTTGATCGGTCGTCAACCGGAGACCGTGCCGAACATTCCAATTATCAACAGAGAAAATAACAGGCTTATTTAGACATAGGTTGCGCAGGTCATTAGGCTTGGTTTTGTCGGCGTAGATATCTTAGTCAATATCAAAGGCACTAGTAGTGTAATTTAATAGCTTAATCGTCGACCTAAGAAAACATTGATCACCAAACAGATATTCTGTTTACAGCACTATATTATCTGACTTCGGCTTTTATCTGGTCTGTGTCATGTATACAGCTGACTGTTCTGTTAGCCAGTACTTAAGAGTAATTCTGAGTTTGGCAAAACACCGTCCAAGCTATGGAATGTAATCAGCTAATCTTAAACAGCTGTATACGCAAACCAATAGAAACGCAAGAGATGGGCTCGTGGAAAACCAAGGGTAACCAAAAGTTAGTTTGGTAACTTATCATATACTTGAACATCCTATCTCTCAGGTTATACACGCACGTTCCTCCTTTCTCATAGTCTCTATATATAACACAAATCATTAGATCTGCACTGGCGATTATAGGCAGGTAAACTAAAAATTGATTCCAAACCGTTCAGACGTCCCTTAAACTAAGTCGAATTTTCAGGGGGGCATGACCGATCTTTGAAGATGAACAAACGCTGACTTGTTGGATCCATACCAGATTTTGAGTTTTGACCAAAAAAATGGTAAAGTTCAATTGGGGCCTATGCAGGGGCTAGACTTTATGGCTCAGTTATCCAGGTGTGCTCACCGTAAATTTTCCTCTCTTGCCTTCTTTTGGAAAAACTGCACTTGCTTCATACATAATGCTAATTTACATGGCTACTACATTTTTCTATAATGATATTTACCCAGCTTAATCTGCTATATTGTTAGCCCATAGAATAAATCTCATACACAATGTTTTGTGGTAGCGGAATTAATTACTCCTGTTCAAGCTACTTCATTAGTGGATACAACTAATTTGTCAATTATGGTTTTATTAAAAAACTTCAGTTAAATTTTGATACTCTTGTGCAATGGCTTTTTCAAAATATTAGCTACCAACAAGTCAAAGCAAACGCAAATAGACTGGTAGTCATCGCGAACAAGAATCGAACAGACGTCTGTATATAGTACCGTGGTGCGCGCTACTTATTAATAGTATATGACACGAGTAAAAACGTAATGTCTGGCAGCAGAAGATGGGCAAAGATCAAGAAAGGAAGAGCGGGAACACAATGGAATTTGTATGAAACGCATGAACAGTGAAATGTCAGACAATGGATTGATGTTTGCAACAGGAACAGTCCAGTTCGATATGATGGATTGATATTTTGCAAATTAACGATTTACGATATGGTTTTCCTATTTTACCAATTAAATTTGTAATTTTCGATAAATACAGTTCGGTTGCACTCACCTGTGTTCTCCTTCACTACAGTACCTCTTGTTTTATCGTCATACATCACATTCTTCTGTAAACTATGGAATATCTTGTCATCACAACCTGCTGAATCTTCCACTGCGAGCTTCTATCGCTAAATAAGCTAAGTCATATTTATTAAATATGGCCATCAATATAACCGCAGTAAATAGACACCGTAAAAGGTTGTTCATGTCAGGTATTAATCTTATCAGTTGACTTATTGAAAAACCAGGCAATGTTCGAAACACTTGGCAGATTACTGCATGAAGGATATTTTCTTAGGTCGCCTCCTCCAGTTCTGTTTTCCTTGTTCTACCGCTATTCGGTTACACATTCAATTTTTGTTGTGTACGAAACAAAACATCCCTAAGCGTTTACATTTCAACAATGCCTAAATTTGTATTTAACGGAAAGATAATACAGTGACCAAAATATATTTACTTATGTTTCTATCTTTTCCAGGGTGGCCAGTGATCGAAAACGAAGACGAAGAAGGTAGAACGAACCTTATGTTTTAAAATGCCTCATAACTTCAAGAATAGGAAAAGGCAACCAGATGCTGCTGAAAGTAACAAGCCATCAGAAAATGAGTTACCGATGACAAACTTGATGAATTCGAACATCTGTTTGGTTTCTTGCTATCGTCCTCGCCGACCGACTGAAGGTGGTGTATCGATTCCCGACATAGCTTGGTCTGGACCTTGTCAGTTTCATTGTAAACAACCTCAGCCACGGTTGCTTGATCAAACATCCTTACCAGGTAAACATTAAGTTGCTCATTTCCTACAATAACTTTTCAGTCTAGATCAAATGTTCGTCAATGCATCAGCCACTTCTGGAATATAACTTCGAACTATTTCATTTCCAACGTCTGTTTGAACTAGATTTCGGGTCTTCCATCAAAAAGGCATTTCGAACAACGGCGATGCCAAGTACTGTAGATCCACAACATTTTTAATTCGTTTGGATTACAATATAAAAATACCCCGAAAATTTGTCCTATTTTGAGCACTAGATTCCAGTCGGTTGAGATTTTTGGAGTATCCGTTCCGTTGTAAGAACTATGGCGCAGATGTCACCCAGAAGTTATTACAATTTTACGTTCTAAAAAAATGTTATCTTTCCGTATACTTATAGCATTTACTTAATAATGATCATCATTGTTTTATTCCATATATAATAATGGTTTTTTTCACAAGTAATACGAGATATGCCTAATTACAGGCTAGATAAGAGTGAAACAGATGTTACAAGATTTAAACGTGTTTTAAATTATCCAGTTTGGTTGGCATAGTATCGTACACGTTCTTCATATTGGTTTCCCTGCTCCATCAAGGTAAACTATCACATGCAATTTTAAACGATTAAACAGACTGAAAGATTGACATCTGACAGCTACGAAAAATTCATAAATAGAAAGACTATATTGATAAAAATTATTTAGTTATTTAAACAACGGACATTAATGTTATTTTTTATGAATAAATCAAAACCTATCTCACTTTTATCTTTAGCCTTTCTTCCACGAGTTAACGCCTACTTCTCTGTTACGATTCACCACACATCGCAGTTAGTTAAGATGGTTTTTCCGAAACTTCTTCAGTTATAGTTTAATTCTGAGGTTAGTGATTAGTTTAAGTCATATTTACTCTTGAAACGTGGCCTAATCTACTCCAGTGCAAGCCGCTAGGCTGTGACAATCTCTTGCATTTGTGAATTCCGTTGCTGCACTTTACTTTCTCCTTTCTTACGCATCACTCTGTTATTAGGTTTAATCTGGATGTGCGTTTGCCAAGATCACACTTTTTGAGGTTTAACTTATGAACGCATTATAACTGCTTTAAACCCGCAGTACAGTACTAACACACAAAACTTTTCACTGACTTGTTAGTATATTTACATGGAGACTGTCAGATATTTTCACTGGTTTTATCCATCTAATGATCCTCTTGTGCAAACACGAGTTGCCAGCTGTTGATAATGCCTGTAAAGAAGGGATGTATCTGACATACCATTATTACTCGGGCACAATATTTTCATAGTTATTGAAAAGGAATCTCACGAGATATTCCTTCGACGGAGAAATATCATTGTATAATGTATTCAACACAACACGGACCATGATAATCCATACTGAGATAGTTAAGAGAGAAAGTACTCAAAGTAGTCCTTGAAGTATGGCATTGCCGGAACCCGCAAACACCTAGCTGCCTCTTATGAATCCAGACAAAATATACACCCCGACTTGAACACAATAGAATGGGTGTAGAGCGCAATCCCGTAGGCTGATGGTATGAGCCCCTTTGATTCCCGAAATAAATCAGAAATGAGTCGGAAATACAGTGCATGTTATACTAATTATTTATAGTTGAGTTACCACTCCGATTTCTAGAAATTGAACTGAGTTGCGTTTTACAGTACCATTCTAATAATGCACTAGGTGTGGACACATATTTATCATGTTATACAATTAGGCATTAGTCGTTTTTAAAATTTGAATAAACTGCTAAAAAGAAATCAACCTCATATGTCATTAGCACTTCAACTGAAGAGATATCACTTACCATACCAGGAGACAACCCTCCCTCCTTCTCAAATGGCAGTCGCCACTATTGTGGCACTATGTGACGAAAGACATCGGTTACCGAATCCGCCCGAC